CCATTATATTATAAGATTATATAAACATCCTTCAAATTATATAATTTGCCTAACCTTAATCACAATCTCCCATCCATTCCATTCCTCCCTCAAACCTGATCTCTCTAGAGATCTGCACAAACTTTCCCTGGTTTTCTTCCCTTCCATGATCCATCCCTCCCCTCCCTTCATCCATCTATCCATTCCGTTCCAATCTCGATCTCAAATTAATATTTCGATGACGAAGACATGATGATCAAGACGAGATAAAATATTACCGCCGGCTAACGCTTTTAAATTCCTACAGCACAATTATTTCACAAAGAACATCCAAAGAGGCTTAAATCGTATTCCCTCATATATCCCATCAATCCGCTCGCTTACAGATACCTAGTAGATATCAGGATTCGCATCTCTATCAGCATCCTTCTCGGTCTCATATCTATACTACCTGGGATCACATCTCCTCGCTTCCATCAAATGGAATCAAACCAATAACCCTTTACTTCCATCCCCCTATCCCTCGCTCACCAACCTTACCATTACGCATACCATAAGTCTAAACCCAGGATCAAAGCACAACAAACTTCCTTCCCCATATCCCATACCATTATCTATCCCTCTCTTCCTCCAAAGTTATAAAGATACAAAACTATCCTCAACCCTTACCCCATAACGCTCACCCCGCAACCCTTAACCCGTACCCCCTAACCCCCATCGCACCAGCGCTTAAACAATCTTATTTCAACATCCATCCCTCCATCCATCCACTCACGCGCCTATCAAGTTTCTTATATATTACAAGGCGTATTTTATAAATCTCTTAGGATGGATGAATGTTCCGGTGATATCGGATATCTAGGTTATAGTGCATGTTTCTTCTGAATATTATAATCTCGTTGCCTGGGAGAAGGAGGGGAGGGATTGTGATTGCAAGGGAAATAATGCGGTGTATACCAAGAGCACCAAGGTTGTGTATACGATGACATGGAATATTGCGTGATGTCTCTTCACCCATCTAATAACTTACCTCACCTCTACTATAACCGTTTAACGATGCATATACACATATCATCATTATAACTATAAGTCCTATCAAGAAATAGTAAAGCGGAGATGGGATATGAAGTCCTGGGAGAGGACGAGAGTATATCTTCTCTGTGATTTTCACAGAGATCTTTTGTTATCATGTAAAATTGTATATGCTGGAGAATCTGGGAAATTGTGTAGTGGATGTTTTTACATGGTGTAGGTATATCTCTTCTGTACTGATATGTAAGAATTGTCCGGTAGGTAGTCTTGCTTTCGATAGACACTTTGATATATAGCTACCTACTGTGATCTTGGAGTCATGAACTATCATATTATCTACACTTCGTTCTATTCTCGCTCTCAAATTGTGACTTCGATTTCAATTATCCATCCTGTTACTCACTCACTCACTCACTTACCCCCTTTTCTCCCCCACTTCCACCAGAACGATTCCCTTTCCATCACCAAACAAACTTATAATTCAGCAACTTCTAGGCATATAACTTTCCTTTCCTTTTCTTTCCTTCCCCTTCCCCCTTACCTATAATATCTCACGCAAGATAATATAGCGAGAATCTCTCCCATATATACATACCTAATACCGCTACGAAATTCCTCTTTAATTGACTCTTCATCCGCATCTTCCCTCTAATCGATTCATTCTCCCACCTCTCAATATCAATAGCTTTCCTCTCATCCTCCTACCCAGTCTCCACACATACTGCGAATTCTCTCAAAATCGCAAACTCTACATATGCTACAAACTCCCTCCGGACCGCACTTAGAAAACTCTCTCGGCTTGTAAACATTGATAGTATGGAAGAAATACCAAATCTGACATACGAACATAAATCCACAAACGAACCCCCAAACACAAAGAGAAATATCAAAATCCCAACTACGTATCCACTTCTCAAACTGTGTGAAGATGTATATATAAATCTAGACATCCAAAAACCAAGAAATGTGTAAATTTTAGTAAAGAACGAATGTATTTAAAATACTTGTTCATGAAGGTAAAGGTAAAAATACAGCCACAAATAAGAATGAAAACAAAAATGTTTACCACAAATACCACAAATACCATTAGCTCATTGCAGACTAATAGACTAATGAAACTCCAAGGGCAAAGGGAAGGGCAGGATCTAGTAGAACTCTACTTAAATCCATTCTCCATTTCCAATTCTATCTTCACTCTCCCTCCCGCGACCGCCGAAAAAAATCTCATCAGAGATCCACAGTCCAAATCCCAACTCCAAACCCTCAAAATCTATAACAATTTCCACCCTATCACACACTCAGACAACAACAATGATATTTACCATCCGTTCTAGCAAAACATAAGAAAAGCAATGTTATCATATCATCTACATTTCACAACTCGAGGTCTATCAATCCCTTCCACCCCTTGTACATCCATTTCCTCGTAAAGAGAAATTCCCGAGTTTCCAGATTCCCAAAGTCCCCTACATACGATAGTACTACTAAGTACAATACTCAAAATTCCCCTCAAATCCTCCTCAAATCCATCCCCAAACCCCCTCCTTCACCCCAACAAAAACACCAATACACAAAACCAACCCACAAAAACCTCATCAACCCTCAACATCATATCCAAAAAACGCCATAATTCAAAATGTCTCAAAAACTCCACATCTCCTCCTTCAACCTCCCAATCCCAAACCTGCCATACTCCGTACAGGAGACCAAAAAAAAACCCCGACTTTCTATACAAATGACAGTCAGATAGACAAGTCAACCTTCCATCTATCCTTCTCGAGTAACAATCAACCATCCAATAATTCCCTAACTTACCACTACGTATCAACACGGATCACCGCTCGCAATTTGTATATATCATAGAAACAACTCATCTGTCATTGAATATAGAAGAAAGTGATGAGGAGAAGCCACTGGGTAGGTAACACAGTATACGCAAATATTGAAGAAATCATCTTCGCTCGGACAAGTCTGTCAATCTTACATGTAAAACTCACCTCCCGGTATCGCTAGGATCACTAGCAAGACGGCTCTCCTTTGTTACCCAGATATTCAAAGCTCTGAGCTGCCTGGTAATAAGCCAAGTTCAGAACTTCCCTACAGCTTCTCTTGGAAGAGCAGCTGGCCGAGGAGCTTCTCGCTAATGGCAAGGAATTTGAGGATCTTTATATCAAAATATGCATGTGAGATGTTATGATAGACTGAGTTGGCCTACATCGAATGAGCTCATGCTGTCTATTGTAGGTCACTAAATCAATGAAAATGGTACACGGAAGCTTGGTATAGCTTAATAACCACACTAATTGAACTATGACCAAGCTATCAGAATACTCATTTTGACAAATTCTGCATGAGCTAGAAAAACTATCATATAGGAACCAAATCCATAAAACTTCTTCAGTCACTGACCCTTAAGTTGATTGGACATCGTAATGTTTTCATCAATCAATTGTCCACTAGGTGATTGTAATTGACAGCCTCAGTCTCTTCCCCAGCTGAAATCCAAAAGATTTCAAAACGCCATTTCATCCTTTTCATAAAGTCATCGTAATCATTATAGTCATCACTTCTAATATTAATTCAGCATAACCACACACACATTTAACCATCCATCCGCATAACTCGCTTCCCTCATTAAATCCTCCAATGGTGCTTTAAACGGAACCGTTGCCCCATGTAAGATAACATCCGCTAAAATCGCATCTCTCCTACTTGGAAATAAACTTGGAAGAATAGTGTTGAGAGCCCCTCCCAATGTTTGAGGTTCACGAGATGTAGTTTGTGGTTGTATGAGAGTCTGAACTGTTTTGAATGCGAAAAGTGGTGGAGGTGGAGAAGAAGTACCTGGAGCTTTTGATGAACTCGAGGAAGCTGGATGAGGAGTTGAAGATGGAGATGAGGATGAAGGTAGGTATATACGTAATGGAATATGTTTTAGAGGAGTAGCGGGATTGAGGAGGATGGTGGAAATCTTGAGGTAGGTGTGAAGATCATCTGCGGGTTGTGTCAGATTAGCGCATGCTATGTCGATATCGTATATGAATGTAGATCAAAAAGGGATCATACTATCTTGAACCGAGTTCCATAATTGTGTCGAGTGTTCTTTTGACATGCTCATGATTCTCTTTGCATTTCCATTGCGTATGAAATCGGCCTGAATTACGATCGTTAGTAAACGAGGCTGAAAATGACTCGAGGGAGGGTAGATACTTCTTTGACGCTATTAATAAAGGTATCATGAATATCAAAAGATGGACCATCTCCTAACTCTATTCTCCATGGCAATTCTGGTTGATATAGATCACATAATAGACCAACTGGTAGATTCTTCAATAGAATTCCTTCATAGGAGAAACTTGTAACATTTTCTCTGAAGAAGGATAATAATCGCGGGAAGAGGAGCGGCAGATAAGAGACTCGGGGTATATTGATCAAATAAGGTATGGAGGAGGAAGGATGAGTGATATACAATGGTATATTAGAGGCCCAAATGAGGGATTGCATAACGAGAGTTCTTTGGTCTTCAACATGTATGTTTCCAAGTGGTGTTCATGCCTACCTGGGTAGTAAGGCTGTGAGGTTAATCTTGGAAGGCTACGATATCTGCTGCAAGCGACTCAACACTCGTTAAGGTTTAGCTTGGAGTGACTAATCATGCAAGGCTGAGGCTGAGGATTTGCATCAATACCCAGGTATTGCTTGCTACGCGAAGTTTCACACATCGGATATTAGGTGATCAGACCTTGAACTTGCAAAAGTTAAACGTTGGGCATACTTTGGAACTAATTCTAACGCTCAGAACCTTCTTTACAATCAAACTGGTCGATGATGCCAAAAAGTCTACAATTACTAGCAACGAAACCATCGAAAAGAAGAGTCTGAACGTAGCGGAGTACGTTTCCTCCGCATTGGTAGCTCACCGGCCAGCCTAAGGTGCGGAAGGATCCTCATTATAGCAAAGTCTACTTTAATACATCCTAACCTTGTTCTTCTTTTAATATTGGTACTTGATGCTTCTTAGAAGCCGATTTCAACACAACTCGAGATCCCTGAAACATCAATACGTGTTTGAAAGAGGAGCTATAACAACTAGATCACTAAGTGTACTACAGGTAAGTTCCTAGAACAATCAACTAGAAAGTGTAAATGAAAGATGTTATGTACACTGGATCCTATAAACGAGCTTACTTAATAGATCCATGGTGGATATTTTTCCGCTCAAACAGGGTCGCTCCCAACTTGCGAAATTCTACTTCCTTCCCAAATCCAGCGTACGGCTCGCAAGAAGCCATGCCATCTATTCCATCTATTCCAGAAGCTCTTCGTTTGAACTTTTATGAGTCCCTCATGCATTTTTCTAATCGCAATAGGGGCCAATTCCGAGCTGAACCATTCGATATACACTGAATCTTGAATCAATATATCGATCGTGTGGCAATCTAGATTCCATATCCGAGGAATCCGGTATGCCGCGCGATTCGTCAAGGCAATCAAACAATTGCAGAATTTCATGGACTTTCGCCTCATCTTCTATCTTGATGGCATGTTCAAATTTCCGAGCTTTAAAAGAAGTGTTCAGACTCCCATGCATACGATCCCGACAGGATACTTTGCACTTGTCCAACTAGAGTGTATACCATGTCACGTTGTGTTACACTCAGAGTATTGCCCCGATGTCAGAGAGCCAGCAAATGATCTTCCTTGATCTTGTCGCGTATCTTCTCCACAGCGAAAATCCTGGGTAACCTTAGAGCTTGGACTGTAACGATACTTTGGACCAGATGCGTATTTGCCAATACTCTGTGCTTTTAGATTAACGTTCGCCTGAACATGACAAGTACTCATCACAGGAGCTCCATTGAGCCAATTTAAGGGTATGGAGATGATGGGTGACAACATGTCACATTGTCACTGCAGTTCCTAGAGCTACTGAGCATAAATTACTAAAGTGGACATTGTACAGCCTGCATAAGTAACAAGCATTATCAAGAAAGGTTATTCCCAATCGATTACCCAATACACTTTATGCATGGCTAATGGAGGAAGTAGTAACTTCGTGGTGTAATTCGTTGAAAATTCTACGCTTAATATAAATCCAACAATTCTATGATAAATAGACACGGAACCACTTTCCTAAAGTCAAATGGCACGTAAGCTCTTTCATATTTCATCCATCCCTTCGGGTCTGCGAAGAAGTCTCTCTGCCGTGGGAGGGTTTTGTCATTGCAACCATTGAATCGATCGATACACACAGACCTACCGGTATGTCCTACAATATTGTATTCATTACCGACATTAGCAAGGAACTTTCATAGAAGGTCAAACTACTTCCTAGAAGTTTCTTCAAATTTGCGCACAGGATATTTGGTCACACGAATTACTAGGCAACGTGTCACCAAAAGAATCATCCGAGCAAGCGCCGTCGTTCAAAACAACATAAGGCTTCAGAAGTTTAATGGGGTCAATTTACACGTTTTTAAATACACGCGAATTTTTAGTTGGTCTGTAGATCATCTAGATACATCCTTCCGGAAAAGCTTGCGGCTAGCAGATTACTATATCTCGTCCGCTCATCTAGCCTTTTCTTTATCGCCCTTGTCTCGATCCATCCCGCAGTCTTTGTGCCATCCTTGTTTCTCACGTCTGCTAGAATAAACATGGAACATACACTTTTTCTAGGATGGTGAAATTCCCGGGTTCTGGGATAGGAGAAATCTTTTCTAACAGAATACAAATGAATAGCATTGGTCTAGAGGAGCTGGGATGTTCGATGCGGAAGGAAGGAAGGTATTGGGATACAGGTACAGATACCTTGTTCTTACTATAGGTAGTGGACTCATTGCAAGGAATAGACAGTTTTGTTCATCCTTTGGCCTGATCTACAGATGTTACAAACCTATATGCGGATCGATATGTAAGGTCCAGACTCCCCAGTAAAGCAAGTTTCTCCTGATCCTTTTGGGTTTTCATTTTTCTCCATCTTGCTCATGTTACTATCTGTTGCTCTGGCATCGATAGATAATTGCCTGAATATTCGATAGGCATGCATTTATCTCCATGTTGACTTAAATGCAAGTCCTACTATCACTACCCTTTTGAAAGTACTGAATGGGCACCGGGATTCCGCAAGAGGCCATAGGTGCTTCTGCTGCCGTCCTGACGTACTCATCTCTATGCCTCCTTTTGGTCAGCTTACTCATTTGTATGCTATGGACCTATGGTGAAAGATGGACCTGTAAGTTGCTCTATCAAAACTTGTACCGATATATCTAACAAGACAGATGTAACATTCCTCGCAAAGTTCTCTGCTTTAAGCACAGTTGGATCTATCGTACAGCAAATACATTATAATCGCTCTTGGCTCATTGTCAAGCATGACGCTTATGCGACGGCTTTAAAAGCTGTAGAAACGCCAGCTTTGGGGTTTTCGGGTGTGGGCAATACCATGGATCTTGTACTATTTACGATTCGTAAGTTCTTATCCCGATGTTATCAATACGAATGACTGCTAAACTCTTGACTCAGAATTCTATTGTTATAATGTTATGGCTTTGATGGTGTTATTCTGGTAAGTCGAACCGTGATTAGATGAGTTGAGTATTGAGATTTAACAGTAATCAGGGCTGTTAAACTTTTCTGTGGTTCCTGGAAAATTCGTGCAAACTTCCTTGGTAGCTGGCTGCTAGAGCATATATCTTTCATATCCAAGATATTTGCAATCATTGTGCCCGGTATTTTGGTGGGCGTAGGGCATGCTCCGGCTGTGCTAAAAAGTCTCGTGGCGACTTTTATTTTAACGAACTCCACAAGTAAGTCATCCTTAGCCAAATCTTCTATCTAAAGGTATATATTCAGAGCTTAGGCTGATGTGGGATACTAGTGCTCATAAGCTTGTCAACTGGCAGTATCCTCATGGTACTTATTCTTTATAAATATATTAAAACACGGCGACTTCTGTTTGCACACGAAAAGCGTAATGGGTGGTGGGCTTCAAGCGGTACAGCGACAGCGACTGATACGACGGGCACCAGTACTGGAACTGGAACTGGAACCGGTCAATTTAATGCCAATAATCGCAAAATAGCTCGTAGGTCTGTATACGATCGTGCACTTATTACCCGGTTTACGATTGGATTTGTTGTTATTCTGTGAGTCTCTTTGGTTTTCTAATGGTTAAACTGATAGAAACACCAGCTAACAATTTTTAAAAGGGTTTTCGAAGTTGTATTAATCATTTTTTCTCTATTCTCCGAACAAAACTTTCAAAAACTTGCGAAATCGTCATCTCCCGACTTTTCGATATCTAGCTGTATTACAGACATTATTCTCTTCATACCCGGAGTTACAGCGTCACTCTTAGTATTTCTCGTGTTCGGAACCGCCAAATCTTTCTCACAATATAAAGATTTAATCCTTAGCTGCTGTGGACAGCGTACAAAATTTCCTAAAAGCAAAAGAAGAGGTGTTGTGAGATCTGGAGATGAGGAACAGGGGACCGAATTTCAAAGATTACCTAGCATGGGAACAAAGATCGTCACGCCCGAAGAACAAGCTGTGTTGGATGCGAAAATGCGAGGCATGTTACCTAACCAACGAACATCTGTCGGGACACAATATACAGAATATACGACACAAACAGGAAAAAGTGGACCAGGATCATCAGTATACACTCATACACGGACTCTAAGTCCAATAACAGCCAACTTTAATTTCAGTCTTCCAGCTTCAGCCAGAAACCCACCTCGACCCGGGATGCGCAAAGACGAACGTGATGCGGGGGAAGCGTGGGCGAGACAAAATGATTTGGAAGATGGCCTGGCGTTGGAACAAGAGTGGACTGATAATAGACATGGAAGGGAAAGAGATTCAGCAGGAAATACAACTGTGGGAAATACGACACTTCTTGAAGATGTCGATCCTTTGTCTCATCGGGATTTTATTCTGGATGACAGTGATGAGCATGAGGGATGGACGAGATGAATAGGTTCATGGGAGGAGTTTTAATGATTTTATGATTGATACCTCAGTACTGGAGTGACTTTTCTATCGGTACCTAGTCTTTATATAAAAAGGGAAATATGGATACTTATATATATATATATATATGGGATATTGGATGGATAGATGAATAGATGGATGGATGTAAAAAATGGTTGGGTTTAGCGAGCACAAATTCTTCACGGAAAAATCGCTACTGTATGAATAGTTTAGGATTTAAAAGAAGGAAAAGAAGACCCCTTCTTTGTATCTATCACATGAAGTCTACATAACGTGCGGATGTGCCGATATGATAGTGGTAGTAATACCGGTCTATCACATGCAGGAGATCAGTGTACCGTACTGAGCCGCATAGGGTTATCGACAAAAAGAAAATCTTTTACTAGGTAGTCGACGATCTACACGCTTCGGAGATATATCACATCTCATATCTCATGTGAAAGATTACTGGCGTGGCACTGACATCTGTAACCAACCAACTGGATGCTGGATACAGGTCAGGATAAGTACAGCCAAGATAGAAAAGCATGGCAAACCCCACCTCAGATTCTCGGAACCCCCTAAAAATAATCTCGGGGTGTTTTTACCATTTGATTTGGAGATTTTTTTATCCTCTCAATATTTGAAATTCGTCGGCCTTGGGTTCCTCCGTGCGTGCCTCGGTTGACCCTTGCATGCTTGTGTTCTGTTGTGTGCAGTGATTTATATTTAATTATCGGTGTCCAGTAGTATTCTTGTTTGAGATTGTTTGAGATTGGAACTTTTGATTTAATGTGTTCGATAACGTTTTTTTTTTCTTCTTGATTCACTTTTTTGTTAGTTGCTTATATATAAGTGTGCGAATTGGGTTCATTCTTTACTTGTATATACAATTTCTTCTAAGATTAAGGTTACTGGCTTTCGAATCCGGAAACTCACCTCCTGAAAATGGCATCCGCAACTCGTCTCCCGCTCAAATCAATCGCGTTTACGACGGCCGTGGTAGCCGCAGCGGGAATCTCTCATGTCAACATACAAAAATTACTCTCAGATGTCTTTACGGGACCGGGTAGTTATTCGCGGATTGCAGCTACGGTTGTTATTCTAGCGAATTTGAAAAGTTTTCCGGGAGTTTGGCATGTATGTTTTCCTCTTCTTCACTCCCACCTCATTCGCTCTATAAAAAGGAGAAGCAAGATAGCATCAACTAACACACGCAGTTCCGAGTCTGGAACGCCATCCTCAAACATCTCATCTTCACCATCCCCAACATCCCCTCCGAACTCGGTCCCGCATCGCTCTTCCTCCCCGTCATAACCACCTCTCATGCTCCCCTCTGGGAATGCGATTACAACCTACATAAATCGAATAGTACCTATTTTTCCGATCTCGACGTGACGCGTTCGCATATCATATGCTGTCTTCTCGAACCGGGCATTCACGCTCTGCAAGCGAATCTCAAAAACAAACTCGTGCTAGATAAGGAAGGGAAAGCGGTGCGCGGAAGATGGGGAATTATGCTCGGAGGCGTAATGTGTAATTTCAAGAGGGAGATAGGTATTTATGAGAAATATGAGATGTGGAGTCGGGTATTGTGTTGGGATCGTAAGTGGATTTATGTGGTGACGCATTTTGTGAAGAGGGGGACGGTGAGGCCTAGAGGGTTTGTGTTGGGAGATGGAAGTTGGCTTGGGGGTGGAAATGCGAGGTTTGAGGAGAGGGATGGTGAGGGGGATGCGGTCGAGGTGGATGAGAAAGCGATTTTTGCAAGTGCGGTTAGTAAGTATGTGATGAAGTTGGGACGGTTGACGGTTCATCCAGAGGTGGTGTTGAACGCTAGTGGGGTATTGCCCGAGAGACCGGGAGGTTGGCATAGTATGGCTAATTCGGGGGTTTCGACGCCGGAAATGGATGAGTCGTTTGTGGAGGCGAAAGTTGAGGATGAGGAGGTTAAGGAGGGGGGAAATGGAAATGAATGGAATTGGGAGAGAGTTGAGAGGGAAAATAAAAGAGGATTGCAATTTGCGGAACACTTTGCTGCGATGGAAGGGTTGCATCAGGAGTTTACGGGAAGTCAGGGACCAGCGTTGGGTAAATATAGAGATTTGCTGTGAGGGTATATAGACTTTTTGTGGAGTTAGACGTTTGTTGATGTGCGAGTTCATATAGATGGGTTAGAATAGAATAGACTAAATTAGTTGGAATGGAGTATAGATTGTAAAGGAGCATATAAACTAATACATAGAAGAAATATCAAGATGATTCTTTGTAATCCAGGATAAGTGCAAGGCATTTTCCTGAGCCATTTCAGTTTTCTCAAGCGAGTTTTAGATTGTCATATCTCAATGATCAAGCTCTTTCAATATAACCATGGGAAGTGAATACAGCACGTGGTAGTGCCAAATTCCATTCTTGACGTCACAGCGCAGGGCTTGATTGAGTATATAAGGGGTAGAATTTGCATCTCAACAAGAACAAATGTGTTTGAGTAGTACCCGATGATCACAAGGTCGAGCATTATACTTCTTGAAATTGTAGAAAAACTCGATATGTGTCTTTGACATATGCACGTGATTCATGTGTGAGAAAGACGATATCTTGGGAGGCGTTTCTGATTTCTTTCACCGAATCGTATTTCGCACTGGCGGTAGTATGACAGTGGTATTTGTGAGAGAAATCAGTGATTGGATGGGATGGAAAATGTCAATAACAAATTTCCTAGCAGCATAATCAACAACAAGAAATCTCATTTTCCTCGCGCTTTTGTCTCGCGTAAGTGGGAAGTGAAGTCAGTTACAAACTTTGAGTATACATCGGTCAGTATTGAGGGCGAGGGATTGGATAGCTTTTGAAACTTTGAAGGAGAGTTATGCAGTTGGTAGCAGCCTTCGCGCTCCTCCATCAACCTGTGTTGTCGGTGTTTGATCTTTTAGTTGCACTGGTCAAGACGTGTCATTTATATGTCTGGAGGGAAGGCTAAGAGGCGAGAGAATGAGAAGAGGGGTATTGTTATGAGTATACAGGTGAATAATCTACTCTATGCATGCACAGCTCATAGATCGAAATGTCCCTACAGTATAGTATGATATATACACATCCAACTTTCCGGGTACCTCTAACAAGAAGTCCCAGATGTATTTCAAAACCTCAAAGGAGTGATGATATAAATAGTACGAAATCCAAGTTTGAGGAAGACGGTAAACTTGGATAGAAGATGCTGGAAGGCATACTATGGTTTAGCTTGAAGTGTGTGGGGTTCCCAAATGGCGTCTCTGAGTTGGGGTGTGGGATTTTTCGTATGGAGTTGATTGCGGCGGTGTGTTAATAATGTTTAGTTGGTGGTGAGTGATGATACCATTATCTATGTACACTTACATCTTGACAGCGGATGGGATATTTATAAACAACAGCAAAAGCCTCTTTCATCATACATACCCATTAGTTGACAGTTCACAGGCATCGTCAGTTGCAGATATCCACCTGAGTAATGCGTCGATGCATTGTCCTAAAATAACGGGAAAGTTGAGATTGACTTCAGCTGTTCGGACCTTTGGGTACTTGTTGAACATGAATGAGGTAGATGTGAGGAAACTTGGAGTGTGAGAGTGTTATTTATATATCCATAGCTTGAGAACTTTTTCGCGAGGATAGAAAAAGTTGGGAGAGGGGTACATACATGCACTGTATTTGGGAGGAGTAGATGATGCATTTACATTTACATTTACATCAACTCGCGTAGTAAATGCACTATGAAGTAAAGCTCCCAAGCGGGTTAACCAAATTAGCATGGAGCTGGAAGAGAAACGGAAGTTGTGAACAGAATGATATTATGCAAGTATGTTTGTAGCATTCCTGGAGGCTTTTCTGGTTTGCTATTTTTTCTAGACCAGCCAATCTTGACAGTCTTTGGGCAATAGTAGACTGATGCGTGTCTTTTTGTGTTGTCATGATTCTATACCCAACTCTCCCGGTGGAAATCTCAAAAGGTGGAGATTTGCAGATAACGGAAATCCCCATAAAACAGATGTTTAACAGCGGTAACATGAGTGATGGCGATGTTTTTTGACTGGACGAGAGGAGGGATTGATTACTATTATGGAGTATTTTTCCCGTATGGATAATTTAATCCTATTTACGGGGTTGATGGCACAAGTGGGTAAACCAACGCGATAATGATCGCACACCCATACTAGAGGATAGGGCATCTTGTATAGAGTTTTTGAAGTGTTAAATTGGGGCAATGGGACCTTTTATACCGGAGGATGTTGAACGGGGAAGGGAGAAGGAAACTGTGGAGAACAAAAATCGTGGAAAAGAAGAAGTGAATGAGTATGCATATGTGGTAACTTTTTGCTGAATCACCAAGCTATTCTCAACTCAATGGGTAATCATAACCCGAGTTGGAATTTCAAAGGAAGCAAGAGTTATAAAAGGAACCCTGTTTTAGGGTTTAGAGGATCAAGAATACTTGGGATAGGCTGAAAATTAAATCAAGGGTTGTGGCTGCGTGTGTGCTTAGTCATGGTCTAGTGTGCAGGATATCGTATCTTTTGAATGGAGTTGCGAGTGGAGGGAAGTGATATCTTTGAGGTTTGATAGGGTGCCGTCTAAATGCTATAGTTGTTGTGTTGGACATTAATCATGAAGGTGGAAAAGTCGCAAGTCGAGTGACGATAGGAATATTTCAATAGGATGAGAATTTGAGATCTAGAAAGCTGTGTAATTGTCATCATCATCATCATCATTGTATATGGAATATGATAACGGTTCTTGCGAATTCCCGCTGAAAGACATTCCTTAGATCCAGCAGGAAAGAAATACAGAAATACTCCAAACATGGTGTTCAAATCGAGTTCCCAATGACAAATTGACCGTGTGTTTTATAGTTGCTTAAAGGCCTCATTCTAGAGGTGCTAGCCCCTTTTAAAGATAAGAAAAGCAAAAGAATTAGGGGTTTAGCGAGATTGTGGATCACCCCAGACATAGGTATGAGCTTCCAGGAATTGAGAGGGGAGTAGAATTATTCACTCCAAGTCGAATTCTAATCAATTAGATATTCTCTTAAACACGTAGATAAATCAACACAGAACTCCTCATTACTTGAAGTGTCAAACGCGAGAAACAAAAGATTAAATACTAAATAGAGTTCAGAGAAAACTATGACCGTCCGCGGGAATGTATTCCATTAAAATTGAAACCCGAAGAACATTACTCCTTACCATCTCATTTCTGAGACGAGAATTATCATCGCTGTTTCTTATCTCAATACTTGGTATATCTGTGAAAGTGATAATGAATAGGTCTTAATAGAATGACAATAAAACCCAATTTCCAAAAGTAACAAAAAATCCCTTCCCACACCACTAGACGAACCTCAAAGTGCAATATTCCACTTTTTGACACAATTTAAGATATACCAATTTTCCGAAGGATTGAAACGAACAAATTTGAATAAGAAGCACGAGGTACCTATGTACACTAGAAAGCAAGCCTAGCGACGGATCTAGTCTAGGAATTATGGAGTTATGGTTGTTGGAAGAATGAAGTATAGGGTTTTTGTATGTATAATCTTGAGATCCAGGTAGTAGGAAGGAAGGGAGGAAGGGGGGATGGAGAAATATTGGGGTTGATGGTTGAAACAGGGGAAGAGGTAGAAGGGAATAGGTGGTGACTACTCTTATACACATACTATCAAACACAACCCTGACCCATCCCAATAAACAACTCCCTAGCTTCTATAACGAATTCTAAGTCAGAGTATCCTTCCTTTCTTCTTTACTTCCTTCCTTCCTCCTCAACATCTACCACCCCACCATCTATCGCCTATCATCCCATTATCAGACCCGCTCACCCAAACTCAACCCACCACACCTCACCACATCCATCATCCCACCCATCATCCGTCGTCAAACTTAACCTACCTACCTACCTACCTACCTGTTTCCCATTTCCCCATTCCCCATCAACAATATACCAAAAGTTCCAAAAACAAGCACCAATAAACCACCACAGATTGTACTCCATCCATACTCCATACTCTACACTCCATCACACACTATTTTAATTCATTTAATTTCTTCCCTCCTTGATACACTATGATACTTATTACTATGTAAGGACGAATACATATATATATAAGCCCATATATGAACCCGTATAGAAAACCGGGTATCCTATTCATACCCGTACCTATATAAGCGTAAGATTAATTATCTGTCAGTTTCCTTTTATCTCCCATTCACTTCTCGTCATCCTCTCATCTCCCTTTTCGCTACCACTTCCCTTTTCCCTCCCACCCCCAGCTCCATTCAAATCTCCACCTCACTTTCCTCCTCTCATGCCATTTTACTCCCAATAAATATCTCTTCCCTCTTCCCTCTTCCCCCCTTCTCCCCTTCATTCCATTTTTACCCCCTCTCCCTCTCCTTCTCCCCCCCTTCCCCCATCTTCCCCCTCTTCCTCTCCATTCACTTATCAACCATCACACCCCATTCATTATCTCTCCATCTCCTTCTACTCCATCAACCTATCATCAACCCACCATCCCTCCTTATCCCCCCCCCTATCTCTCCCTCTATTATCAATCTACTATTCCCCTCCCATTTCCCCTTTATTTCTCCCTCTCCCTCTCCCTCTCCACCTCTTCGCCACCTCTCCCTCTTCACTATCACCACCTACCTCCACCTTTTAACTCTCCAGTCTCCACTCCTCAATTTCATCTTCTCTTAGCTATTTCCTTCTTTCCATCTCTTCAAAATGCTATTCGCATAACCCCTATCTATTAATCAATCAATAACCAACTACGTATACACCCATTACATCTTTTATTCATTATAACTTTACATCAACTTATTGATTCTAACACCACGAGTATCTTTCTACCCTTGAGAGTTTCCAGTTCGTCACAAGATCTCACATCATCTTAAAATCACATCACAAAAATCAGGCAAAGATAAATATTTTAAAAATCATCATTTTTCCTAACAGATTATTCCTGCCCAATAACAAAAGCACCACCGTACTATAAACCATAAACAACAAGTACCAATCTTTAATCCTGTGATTGAAATTTCCCTTACAAAAAATATCATCACATATGACCAAAAGTGGTAAAAGAAAATTAAAGAAAAGCCTCGGAGGAAAAGACGTAATAGAAAAGAAAGCAGCGAGTGAGATAAATTCCATTTCCCCCTCACCAAAAATATTGAACGTGTAAAAAATCCCAAAAGCTCCATCCATTTCCCTTAATCCATCCGCTATCCAGAGCTTGTTTGTGTGTCAATCTTACGCCGCCTGCCTTATTCGTGATAATTCATCCCCATTCCCTTCGCCATATTCATCCACGTCCTTTCCATTTATTTATGTAATCATCTTTACCCTAATACAACTTGCTGGGTGATGTATTTACTTCTTTGATTCTGATTCTTGCTCAGCAAGGTATTCCTCATCACTGGCATCGAGAATATCGTATTCCTCATCAGTCATGAATCCATCCTCACCCTCATCATCTTCAAAGTTTTGATTAAACTCCTCAAAATCATCATTGAAAATGTCTTCGGAAGTTGGAACAACCTTTGGTGATGGTTGAGCTTCATGAACGCTTGAAATTGGAGATTCCTTTTCAAGCTTTGGGAAAATCATTCGACTACCCTCAGCTTCAGGTTCGTCACGAGTTTCTTGAACCTCGGATGGAGCTTCGGTGGCAATCTCTTGCTCATCAGCTACAACCTTAGGAGCTTCAATCTTGGCAGCTTCAACCTTAGGAGCTTCAGTCTCAGCAACTTCAGGCTTGATGACTGGAGTTGGCTCATTGACAGTGATGTCACACCAAAGTCTGTGACCAAATTTATCACCAGTAGGAGTGGTAAGACGCCAGTATGAAATGAAGCTACCAGCACGGTTTGGAGTTCTCATCAAGACGGTGAAACCGTATTCTTGACCAGGAGCGACCTCAGTATAACAAGTTGTGCTCTCAGCAGCACTGACGAGTTCATGTACACTGGCTGGGTGTTCAGGATCAACAGCACACATGTTATCGCCACCAACAAATCTAACACTGCAACCTGCAGGCCAAGATGTCTTACCACCATTGCGGAGATACCAGGTTTGTTCGAAAACCGAGTTTGGTGTCATGATGGTACCATCAGCAACTGCATCACGAACAAAGTGTGCGACCAATTCCTCTTCAACAGGAGCTGGAGCTTCTTCAGTGACCTCCTCGACAACTTCTTCCTTAACCTCAACTGGTTCGACCTCAGCAACAGACTTGACCTCAGCGACAGGCTCAACCTCAGCGACAGATTTATCCTCAACAGGCTTAACTTCAGCAACGGTTTGAACTTGTGTTGCAGCATTAGTGGATGGAGTTGGAGTAGTCTCGGTTGCCTTTGAATGTGTTGGAGTAAAACGATCACCCATTGGTGCCATAGGTTTACCATTTGGATGATCACCAAGAGTTGTGACGCTAACATTACGAACAGGTGTCTTGAACTTGATCAAAGGATGAGTTTTGTTGTGAGAGTTGGATGGACTGGCCTCACAAACAGCACAGAAATCGGTGTCGTGGCAGACTGCACATTTGTAACGATCTCCAGTGATATAACTGGGAGAAATGTTACCATTGTCATCCTCGCTGTGGTGCTTGTGTTTGCAAAGAGGTCCATCACAGAAGATACCCTGGTGACGAACTCTGCTAGTTTGTTGTCGAGCACCCGAGCGGCTGACAGGTTCATAGAGGGGTACAAATCTGTGACCTTGGTGAATGAAGGCAGCATTCGCAATGCATGCATCGCAGTAATCCCAATCTGGACAATCAAGACACTTGTGACGAACACCAAAGATGTTTCTATCACATCCATCACAGATAGCAGAGTGAGAGGCGTTACGACCTGCGGCGAGAAGAGCACAGGCCATTGCACCAAAGTTAGCATCCTCATCCACAAAAGCGAAAGCGTGCTTAGGGTTGTGACCATGCTTCAATGATACATGACATTGAATGCACAAATCGAAATCTTCACAATCGATGCAAGTAACAAAGTTCTCTTCGGACAATTCGGAGATGCAGCTGTTGCAAGTGCGAGTAGGAACCGGTTCCTTCTCTTCGGCAGCGGGAGCAACGAGGGTAGTCTTAGAGTCGGAGAATTGCGGCTTGTTATCTCTATAGCCAGAGAGTTGTTTAGGGGCGAGCTTTTCGGTTGTGCTGTGAATGTATTGGCCCTTGTTCACGATCCGTTTAATCAACCAATGATCACCGTTGCAGGTGACTCCAGCATCGTTGCACTCTGGGCACAAGTCGAAATCACCTTTATCACAGGTGCTGCAATGATAGTGGATGTCTGGAATGGAGGCATTGCAACTATTACAGTAAACCGAGAACGAGCCGACGACAGGCTCTGGTGACTTTGAGCTTACTGGAGCCTCAGCATCAAAATCTCTGTCCAACAAGTAGGAAGGAAGTGGCTTTGCGTGTCCAATTGTTGCTTGGTAATCAGCGCGATGATTGGAGACAGCCATTTCATCAAAAGATTTCTGTAGGGAGATGATTGCTTCAATCTGCTCTTGTACTTTGGATTGCACTTGCACTGCGGCACTTGAGTCCTTGTGTTGTGCTTCTCTTATAGCCTCCGAGTTTAAAGCTACGCTGCGTCTGGCGTCAGGGATCTCAGTAGTTGATGGGTGCGATACTGGGCTGGCAAATGAGGGGTATTCAGGTTGTGTTACAACAGGCTTGGCTGAAGTTGGCTCTTCATCCTCGACGGAAGCTGGCTTTGGCATGACGGGTTCTTTGTCCTTGATGGTGACCTTGAGTCTAAGCTTAAGCTTAGCCTTGGCAGCACGATACAATTGTTTGTAAACTGAAGGATTGGTTGCATCGAGTACGATGAAGGCAGCAGCACTATCGGAGTATCTCTCAAAGATAGCCTCGGATGTTGAAGGGATGGCAAGAAGGAATCGAAGCTGTGTAGATGAGAATGATTAGCTATATTCAAATAATTGCATCAAGATCTATCGTGCATAAACAAGATGGTATGTTTGCAATATCACGAAGCTTTGTTTGTAAATAAATTGATGTTATCACATACCTTATCGGGAAGAGTGCTAGCACCGAGATCACGAAGAGGAAGCTTGAATCTTCGATTGCTACCCTCAATATTAACCTTAAGGGTAACCAGAGTATCTGGTGTTGGGGCTGTCATGGACGCCATGATAGAGATTAACAAATCTATGGAAGAGAATTGTTGTTAGTAAATGTGCAAGAAGGGATGAAGTGATGAAGTGATGTTGCGAGAGAGCGGTGACCTTGCAAGGGAATGATGCGGGTGCCGATAGAGCGACGGTGGCAGGAATGGATCGGACTTACTTATCTATTTGATTATGAAAATCGATTATTTGAATAGGATATCTTTGAAGAATCGAAGGATTCGATGTTTGTAGAAACCGATCAAAGAATAAAAGGATATTCTTTTGATCGATTGTGAAAAGGGAATTGTTGTAGGTAGAGTGGATTGATGTGTTTTTGATTGATGTTGTAAGTTGTATGTTGTAGGAATAATAGAGGATGGAAGATGGAGAAGAAGTGGAGAGAGGAAGATGTAGGTAGGCAGTAGGTGAGATGCAAAATGGAGTGTATTATAAGAGTTGGGTTTAGCTTACGAAAACCAGTTGTAGGCAAAGAAAACCAATCGCTAAAATCAATAAGCAAGGCTGCCGTAGAAGGGTACGTGGAAAGGCCTGTACAGTAGGTAATTAATTGTTCATAGACCGACCGACTTGTGAAGGGTGAATGAGAGAATAAGAGAATGAGAGAATAATAATACGGTCATTATTGAATGTCTCGGTAGGTAATCAATTAATGAATATGATCAAGATTTGTTAATGGGAATGTTTGTATTTTTTGCCTCATTCGATTTGATTCTATTGTATTGTAGCTGCCTAGGTACTGTAGAGATGATGTATTATGAATAACTGGATTTTAGTAAATATCTCTAGTTATATATATCTATTATATATCTTCATCACTAACATTTCTCTGTCTGAGATCCATCCTCTCCGCCACAAGCTCTGGGTAATCATGTTGAATCATCTCCAGCTTCCTGTTGGTAAATGAATACCTACAACACTTTTTACAATCAAATATTCATTCCTCATTATCAATACTCCAGCTTTCTGACTCCCGCCTCTCACTACTCGCTCCCTATTTTATCTAGTCCCAGTACCCCCCTCTCTGAATGACGAAGAGCAAGCATCAAGCATTAAGCTCATATGAACTACATATGGAGTCTATACATACATAGGAGCATTGGAGCACGAGGATATATACTGATTATATTATCTTATATTCTACTCGGTCACTTACATATTGATATACCGAGTAGCTACCTAGATAGGTTCGTAGTACAGATACCTACCTATGTAGTATCCATCTCTCTATTTGCCTCATGTCTCTCCTCTCTTCTATCGAGCTCCAGCTCCAGCTTCAGCTCTATCTCACTCTCCATCCCATCTAACTTCATCTCACAAGCTCTATCCCCGAAACTCTACTTCTATCTACTCTACTCCACCTAACTATCCATATCATTTTTTAGAAACCAAAAACCAAACCCCAGACTCATCAATCAATAAATAAATCATAATAATAATATTATAGATGTAAATACTATCTATTATTTACTCTCTACAATTTACTATAATTTGCCTAACGAAACCCTTCATACCTACTCTACACCTAGCTATCCATAAACCCGAGAACAACTATAACTAAATAAATCACTCACAGTAATACGATCATATATATATACAAACCCTCTACTATACTAAAAACCATACACTCCCTACAATTTACCATACCGTAAGTCCCCCTCTAAAATAAATATAAAAAAACCTCTCTACCTCCCCTTCCCATCCCTCCTCCTCAATCCTCCCTATCTACCAACCATGTATCCCCCAATCACGTGTCTACCTCTCCTGCCTCTACTCCCTCCGTTACCTTCTCTCATCTTATCCATCTCCATAATCATATACTAAAACTTACCCTCACATTTCATACACTCATACACTCATACACTCATACACTCATACACTCATACACTCATACACTCATACACTCATACACCCATACACCCCATACACCCCCCATACCCCTCTTACCCCCCCACACACCCTCCCTCCTCCCTCCTCCCCCCTCCTTCCTACCAACCAACCATTTGCCTCCCCTCATCTCGCCACACCACCCACCACAAACCACAAACCACACGCCACGCAATCCTTCCCCCCCGGGCCCCTCCCGATCACTCGAGGTCCTCCATCTTCCTTCCTACCTTCCCGAGTTCCAATCAAATCAATTATCAAAATCTAGAAACACATACGAATACAACCACGAATACAAGCACAAATATAAATGCAAATACAAATCGTCTCAATGAGGCTCACTCACGCTCACGTACAGTACGCACATACGGAGAGTGTACTCCGAGTTCCCCACAATCCAGACTCAGTAGGAAGCAGGTGAAATCTCGAATATTTAGGTATTACTGTCAAGTCACCATCAAATTCACACATGCCTAGTAATAGTAAGAACAATAGTTCACATTTAACAACCTAGGTAGAATCGAAAGGAGTTAGGTAAAGCTTATTAAAAAAGTATTTACCCTATCCGTATTCATATGAAGATGAACCCCTCAGAACGAGAATTACTACTTATTTCCTCCATTCCCTTTCCTTTCCCTTCCTTCCCTTCCTTCCTTCAACTGAACAAATTTGCCATGATCAAAAAACTCAAGAAAAAATCAAGTACCACGCCACGAACCCCGGCAATGAACAACTTATGTTGCAGAAAAGTGCTCGTACGACCGTACGCCTATCAAAGATTATTCCTTCCTATCCACCCAGCACCTTGCTTGTTTCCTCTCATCCATCAGACCCATCTTAAACTTCCAATCCCATCAATAACCATCTTTCACTCGTGGTATCCAGTTGATGCGACCACATGTCAAGAGTTGTCAATTCGAATCCCACCCAACGAAGACTTTTAAGGAAAGTAGATCTATCTCCTTCAGGAATTGATCGATCAACACTAATAACGACTTTTGAAACTGCGAATACTTCATCCGCGAGTTCAATAAGTGCCATAAGTCTATTGCTCATTAGTAACTTAAATTGTGGTGACGACAACAAAGTAATCCTTACCCCTGTTTTAAATCCCTTCCAATGACTGAATTATCAAAGAATGCAAATAATGTTTTCTCATCACCATTTCCGCCCACAAATCCACGAAAACTGCATCCTCCCGTGTAATCCCAAATCTCGACCCAAGCATCGATTGAATGGCCTGATTTGACGACACCAAAGTAATTATCATGCGTATCCACATCATCGTCAAGACTTGAATACGTGTCCGCACCCATCACGTTTGAGTCACTACTAGCACTTTCTTCTTCACCAAGAAAAATGGTTTTCATGTTCTCGCAAAAGAGTCTCTCACACTCTTCCCGGATGGCGTACGCTGCCCCCTCTTTGCGGCTGGTAGTTCTACCTCGATTCTTCATTGAATGATTATTTAATGCGAATTCGTTGGCAGATGTCAAGGCCGCAAGAGGGGGACTTGACGGAGGGGATATTGACCCTGAGCGGACCTCAGGGATACCACTTTGCCCTGTGGAAAGAATATTAGTATTTTGATGCTGGTTTGCGGAATTTGGGCGGGGAGTGAAATAAAAAGGGGGAAACTAACCCGCCAGCGCCGGTAGTGGAGTAATGGAATCCAGAAAGACGAGCGGAAGAATCAACAATGTAGCAGCTGGCGAGGACGTTTGCTTGAGAGCTAACTACCTCGCCGCCACAATTACTACTACTATGACTGTTTTTCATACTTGGAGCCATTGTTCTCGAAAATTGCCAGTTTTGCGGTGTGAAAGGTTTGGGGATGGAATGTGACAATGAAGTCGGGATTTCGATGATTTAATTGCGATTTGATTGAACACGATTTGATTGAACACGATTTGATTGAACACGATTTGATTGAACACGATTTGAATGATTGCGACGATGAATTGAAGTAATATTTGCAGGTGGGAACTGTAGGGTTGAATTCGTTGACGTGATATTTGTGATATTTGATTTCTTCTGATGAATTTCGGAGTGTGCACTATTTGATAATCGGTGACTGGAAGGAGAAAAGAGGCGGCTCTGGTTCTCTTTTTTTTCTTTCTTTCACTGTGGAGTCTGGGATTTAAACAAAGGCAGAAAAGTTAGTTTCTCATTTCCCCGCTTTGAATGAACCAATGATAATGAATTCTCATGCAACGCATCAACAACCAACCGCCATGACTCCAAGCCACTAGAAATTTCTATGGTAGGACCAGGAGGATTCAATTTCCTGTTTTCGGTGAAGTTTGATTTATTATTATTATTATTATTATTATTATTAATCAATGTGATACAAGAATGGATTGGTACAACATCTTCTGGTGAGGTCATGTGGGAAGGATATCAAATCATATTTGTTGATTCATTCATCAAGAAAGAGTTACCACGGAGCACAGAGTGTTGTATGTAGTAATAAGCAGGAAACGATCAATTGGCTTTATTATTCTATTCATTCAATTTCTCCCGGGCCAACCTAACTTTCCTCGAAACAGATACTGCCAAGGGGAATACGAGTCTGTATGATACAGAACTGTATCATGTAAATACGATATTTGATCGTTCTAATGTTGAAGTCACCATGAATGCATATGGGATTGGATGCAATGTGATTTGTTCTTTATTCGGAGCTCCATGCCATCACTCCACTTCTGGAATCTTGGGTACGAAGTATACCGACAGTTTGTTGGATCCATTCTTTCATTATCATATGTACCTTATTATATCTAGGGATACCTCCACTTGTTGATCCCGAAGTACCAAGGCAAAGCGTCAAGCGTTCAGGAGTAAGAAATAAGAGTTCAAGCTAAGAGTCAGAGTCAAAAGTTAAATGTCAAGAGTCACTATAATTCACAAACTATTACCTGAATCCGAAAATGGACCAGCTTATCCTTCCAATTCTGATTAACCGCGGTACATACATAACATTCGCATCACATTATTAGTATGAAAGTACGAAGTATACCTGAATCACCGAGTTTGAGATGAACAACAAGCATTTCCTTTCCTGCCCTGCGTGTCTAGATGTATTCTAGTTGATTATGCAAAACATTGTTGGAAGGATGGAATGAATATGCAGGTAGTCAGTCATTCATCCCTGTGTATAATGGTCCCTTTCTATTTTTTTGGAATAAATGGAGTTTGGTCAGGAATGATAAAGATCTTCGATCTGGATATCTCGAATCTTGTATCTTCAAACTCTACTCTCATGAATGATGAATAACCAACAGCCAACCATCCTCGAGCCATCATTTCCTAGTAATCATCTGACTGTTGGTATAAATCATCCTTATCCATCCGTACATCCATCCATACATTCATCCATCCATACATCCTTACAATCATCTTATCGATAAGCCAGCCGACTAAAAACCTTGGAGGTGATGGTAAATCATCTATTATTACTACTACCTACTACTCCTTACCTTGGCTCCGAGATACCCAGCTCCCTAGTTCCCTAGTCCTCTCACCAGCTCCATCTATCTTCTGCAAAGCGGAGGCACAATCACAAAGCCCACGATAATGCTCTGTCTGGACTCTGTACAAATGAATGCGACAACACATCTCTGCACAACTGGTCAAGTAAAGTGGGAAGTGGTATGTGAAAAGTGGGAAAAACACATGATTTCTGCAAGTCGTCTCGGTCGTGCATGTCGAAAAAAATGTTCCGTATCCTCAAATTCAAGATTAAGTAAGTCAGTTCATACGATATATCGGTATTCAAATCGGTATCTTTATTTCACAAGCACATGTCAATTACCACGCTATCCTATTATCTGTTCTTGTCCTACGACATTGAATTGATTCAGGTTGTTCTGCTTAGAATATCTCTCATTCATCATTTGAGTGACGAGAAGAAGCGAGTAGCTATGAGATGATATACCGACCGGTACATGTAAATACCTCATTTTTATCCCTCAATTCTTTGGTCTCCTTACCATCTATGCTATCTACCTTGTATCCTTCGATATCCTTCAACATCTTCAAATAAAGCTCACAAGATTCCTCAATTTCACATGCGAAACTCATCTACACACACATACAAATGCCAACAAAAGCATTGTCTCATCTATAGAAGTGAGTGACCATGCCATCCCTTTCCGTCGCGCAAACAGTCTTATCTTGTAAGACCTTTGAGACTTTCGCACGCGACTCTTTGTGTGTGTGATGTTTTAGGTTTACTTACTTAATTCTTACTGGATTCCCTATTTCCCCTATTCAATCATGTCTTTTCATCGCAGCTTTCTAATCTTGATGTTCAGACAATATCCAAGATTATTATATTTCTAACCACGATACACCTTTAATGACAATACAAATCTTCCATACTATTAGCTAGTTAGCAAGCAGGAGAAGTAGCTATCTGCGAGTAGAACAAAAGAATCCTCGTCCTAAAAATGTCCAACGAACGCCTTACGTTCCCAACCTATCTTCTCCCCTCCTTCTCCTTCCCCTTTCGTCGTCGCACATCCTCTTCTCCTAGCGCAAAACCTGCATCGCTCAATACAAGTACGAGCGCAAACCCTTTGGTCCCAGGATTAACCGATTCGCCTACAAGTAGCTATAATGAAACTCCCCTGACATCACCTACATCTGAGAGTTTTCTCTCACGCATTCCAACTACATCCACCCACAAGAGTGGGAGTTGGAGTGAGCATGAGAATGAGAATCAAAACGAGAACCATGACTTGACCCGCACTCCCACTTCTCCTCCTCGCACCACACCTCTCCCGCAACCCCATCTCACTCGTCCCTTTCCCTCTACCATCCGCTGTCTCACCTGCTCCACCCACATCTCCTACTCCTCGCAAATAATCTCCAAGGGCTTTACCGGTCGCCACGGCCGCGCCTATCTCGTTGCTCCGCCTCCTTCTGCCCCGGTTCCTCAAATCCCCCCCTTTCCACCCACCGCTCACGATCGCTCTAAAAATATCTCCAACGTCCGCGTCGGGCGTCCCGCAAATCGAGAATTGTTAACAGGGCATCATGTCGTCGCAGATGTAAATTGCGCGGTGTGTAATACGCTTTTAGGATGGAAATATGTGGATGCGAGAGAAGCGGGCCAGAGATATAAAATTGGAAAATTTATCTTGGAAACGAAGAGGGTGGGTGTGGTGGAGACGTTTGAGGATCAGGATGTGCGGACTCATTCGCTGGATTTTCGGGGTGGGGATGAGGATAGTTTGGGATTTGGGGGGGGTGGGATTGGGGGAATTTGGGAAAGGTGGAGGAGGGAGGGGAGATGGAGAATTACATACTTTGAATGTGGATACGAAAGAAGAGGAAGAGGCAAAGGGATGGGTGAATTTTGATTCGGAAGATGAAGATGAGTGTGAGGAACTTTTTGCGGGGATTTGGGATGCGGAGGTGGCGCAGAAAAGAAGGATTAGGAGGGTGGATCGGAGGAGGAAGGAGGTGGAGAGGGAGAGGTTGGCGAGTAAGGATAGTGGGGTGGGGGGATTGTAGAGGGGGAAGACTAGGGAAAGAGGGGGATAGGAAGGGGAGGAGGTGGTAATATATAATTGAAATGATTATGGGGTGGGAGGAGCGGGTATGCGATGGGATGGGATGTAAAGGGCTTTACAACGTGACTACTCTATGATTTATGACGGACGGATGGATATACATTTACTAGAAAGGCAGGAAGGAAGGAGGAACGCATGCATCATGACGGAAAATTTCTGGTTCTTTTTGCTAGGTCTCATTGGGTTTAATTTGTACAGATGAGAATCTCGAGGGTTTACTCTCTTTCTCTCTCTTGGGCTTGAGAGATACTTAAATGTTCATCATCTCAGCATGGGATTCATTGGAAAATCTGGATGGGAATAGGGCGTGATATGGTATGGTATGGTATGGTATGGTATGGTATAATGTCATATAGCATAGCACATAGCTTCTCCTATGTGGGGGGGGTATTAATATACCTTTTTTGTTGTAGGTATATCAAATATATTTTTCTACTCGATTGACCTTTGTGTATATATGTCGAATATCTCTTTTTATCTGATTGATATTTGTGTTTTGCATATGTATATGGTGATTGATAATCGATGATATGATGATGTAGTTTTTTGCTTCGGTATCTGCATTGATTGGTCTTGATAGGGTATGGGATCTAGTGTGGTGTATTGTATTGTGGTATATTGATAGGATATAATAGGATACAGTATAGTGAAAAAGTGTATTATGAGATTGATATTTAGGAATTAGCTTTTGAGGGTTATAGATTGAGGAGGAGGAAAAGGATTTCTTGGGGGTTTTTTTGGGGGTAGGGGAAGGAGGAGGAGGAGGAGATGAAAAGGGGAGAAGGAAGAAAGGATTTTAATCATTTCATCGTGTTGATTTATATGTATTTCGAAATCTGGGGTTTGGAGTGAAACTTTTGGGGGGAGGTACGGGGGAGATACTCGGTGGGCTTTTGGGGGTTATTTGGGGAGAGGAGGGCGGAGATTGAGGATATAGGGGGATGTTGGGGGGATGCAGAGGGGATATGATGGGGAGGGGCGTAGGGGGGATATGATGGGGATGGATGTAGAGAAGGGTGTAGAGAAGGGTGTAGAGAAGGGTGTAGAGAAGGGGGTTGTGGAGGGGAGATGGATAGAAGATAAATGCAAGATTTGAAGTAGTGTTTATATTAATTGTATAATATTGATGATTGAATGAGTGATTGCGAGTGCGAAATTGGTGGATTTGTTATTGTTTTGGGTATCTAGAGGAGTAAATGTATTGTATTATATCATCATCATTGTTCAATATATGTAAATATTCATAGTACATATACTATTTCAACCGAGATATCATTCAAAACCCAATATATATGCCTAGATAAATGGATAACTAGTTAGAGAAACTTGGACTTGGGAAATATCGGGGGTTTAGCGATATAGTTCAGGAGAAGTAGAGAGGAAGAAAAGAAGCAGAGAAATAGAGAAGTAGTGAGATAGATTCTGCATGGGAAGCTAGGAAGCTGAGAATTGTTTTGGTGTGATGGGATGTAATGGAGGACTGGGAGTGGATGGTTCAGTGGAGGGTGATTAGATGGGTAATGGGATATAAGTTCTTTTATGGGGGGTTGGAGATATTAGGTGAGTAGTTGGCTTAGGTTGACATCCTGGTTATGGTTTTATGCTGTTATGATGCTATTATGATGCTTTTGGGTGGAGTTGGAGTTGGAGTTGGAGTGAGGGGGTTACAAAGGGAATAGGGAGTATGTAAGGGTAGATGAGGGGTAGATGAGGAGTATAAATAGGCAGGTATACAGTTGATATACTGTTCAACAAGAGTATGTTGACTAAAGTTCTACTACATATATATTATTGCTTCAGAAAATATGACTGATGATGTTACACACATTTAGCAACTATATTTTGCTATTAGAATTAGATCATAGGATAACTTTGAGCAAGACAATCAAACCAAAGAATATCTAACAAACAAGCATTCGTCCCATTGTTCAATCCCTTACCTAGATAGATATCCTGCCTATGCCTATAGAAAAACTCTCCCAAACCCAAAATATAATAAAGACTTCCTCCTAAGTTCTAACAAAACAACATATCTATACTGCAAAGTTCCCAAAAGTTCAACAAAAGTCCCAGAAAGCTCTATCACATACTAGATACTTAATGAAAGACGTTCATTCAAAACTCCCATCAACTTTCCAAGTCAAGTACTCCCACCACACCACTCGAACGACTAAGCAAACCAAACAGCAGAACCAATCCCAACTCCAAACTCTACAAACCACATCCTCGAGCATCTTAGTGTCTCGGCGTCCTAGATGGGATTAGCTCCCACAAATCCCATTTTGAGAAATTAGGAACTTCCTCTTTTAATTTGTGATTCTTTCTTTGGTTTTTGTTTCCAACTACAACCACAACCTCTTTGACTTCAACACGACGATCTTTCAACGAATTGGTATGGATTGGGTTGCCAACAACACAATGTTATTGTTTTTTTATTTGTTGATTGAATGGATAGATGATTCTTCGATGGGGGTTGTAAGTTTTCTTTTTCCTTTTCTACGTTTCTTTCTCCTCATACTTTGGACCTCGAGTCGCCATCGCCGCCAGCTTCATCTCTCACGTTCGAGACTTGAGTCTGCGCTACAGGCAGACAAACTCACTTGAGTTACTGCGTTGATAGGCTGCACTTGTACTTCTTCGCAGTATTCTTCAATTAATGTTAATGATACGAAACTGACGATGATTAATTAGGAACGAAGTTCCTGTCCAGTTACCTCAAGCCGATCACTTGATCTGCAAGATCAAACGAACTCTGCTAGAGTCTTTCTGCAGGTGAGTTATCAATCAAGTATCTATGAGCTTACTTGGCTAACATTGGAATTACTGCTAGATCAAACTTCGAACACCTGAGCTTCTGAGCACCAAACCTGCAAAGATCGAGGACGCAGAATTACTCTGGCTTTCGTCCTTTCGAAAGACTCCTGTGGTCTCCGAATTACGTCGCTTGGCGGCAAACTCGTCGCTGTCGTTGTCGATAATAGCATAACTTCAGGAGAAGAAGTAAGTGACAAATACCTCTTTCTGTCTCTGAGCTTTGCTAATCAAAATCCAGGCGTCGTCATGATGGGACCGCACACAGGTAGAGCTGTAAGTTACATACAAGCTCGTCCTACAGATGTCTATCGTCTGCAAGCTTTGTTTGACACCATTTCCCCACCATAGAAAATCTGAGTTTTCGCAGAAGCGCACCGAGAGCCTGTAACGAGAGATATTACTACGTTCAAGATCAGCGGTAAGTGATTGATTCGAACAATTACCTTTCATCACTAACACAAAATTAGTACTGCGGATGGAGTTCAGCCAATGCACCATCGCCGTGGAGATGCTCCGGCTTTCTCGGTCGGTAAAGAGCTTGGCGGTTCAGACGGCATGATCGAACATGATTCCGGAGGCGATGAGAGGAGCCGATATGAACTCACCATCTCATACTATCGATAGAGCAAGCGTTGGTGTTCCTCATGCTTATAAATCTTTCTCGTTGACGCACGCTGATTCTTACTTGTGTCGGCAGAATCAAGACCCCATTGATCCAGGGCTTCAATCGCTTGCAGATCAGCAAACGAAATGCACCACCAATCACCTTCATACTCACCCTGGTGCGGTTCGCCGCTGGCTCTGGTATTCAGCTGGCCTAGCCGGGGTGAGTAAATGATTGAAAGGGAATTAGGTGGATGTTTCTTCATGGTATGAGTCTGAATCTTAGGGTTGTTTATATGCACTCACTAACTTTTTGATAGGGGTTGAGCCTGGAACAATACTGAACAACACATCCAAGAGACACATCTCGGCGTGAGTGAAAATATCGGAATGAATGGGAGGAGGAGTTCAGTGGTTTGTTACATACAATGGCAACATGTATTACCCGTTGGTTTCTCACTGATTACCGTGATCGTCATAAAATGACAAGGAAGTGATCCTTGTTTTTGGTATGTGAATTGTGAAATGCATTGCACATCCATCGCCTCACCGCGAACGATCCAACTTTTCAATAGTTGTAATCGTAAGGGATAATGCTAAATTTGCGTGTATGGTGCTGGTGGTAGTATTCACAACGAGATTCAAATAATGTAAGTCTTCTTTTTACCCAATTTCTTGACTTATCAATCGCTAACAATTCATCAGACATATACTTGCCATCGCCAACCCTTGGTCATTTCAGCTTGAGGTCACTCCCAAGGCTTCGTCACAACCTCCACGCCTGTCTACTCGCCAGGGCATATTGGCTGCTTACCCAATTATGACCAATACAGAGTACTTGGACCATGCGTCCAAGACTCTTACACGCCTGTAAGGGTGCTGTGTCTGCCATGGATGGGTTGGGTTGGAATTTATAAACCAATGTTCCAGCTCAACCCAACCAAGTACCATGGCACAAAGAAGGGTGGTCTGGTGAATCCCGACATTGATATGTGGTGGTCTCCCTTCGGCAGGGTAGTTGGTAAGTTTCTTCAAGTCTCCCTTTTTTGTCTGATTTAAGAGACTTATTTTAAACTGACTGGGAAAGAACACCATTTTGATGAAGAGAAAACCAAAAAGATTGGAGAAATGAATAGTCTCCTCGAAGTGATCGATGAATAAAGGGATCCCGTTGACGACGATGTAACGGTTTTGAAATATCTCAGAACTGCATTGCATTTTCTGCGCAGCATTGTCTGTCTCCCAATACTCACAACACTCATCGTAAGTTTTCCAGTTCTGAGTTCATCACCATGTTGGATTTATTTATACGGATATATGCTCACGAAATGGTAGTCGGACCCATCACTCTGAACTTCCTTTGAAGTCTTTGTTGATTAAGAGGCCACCTCAGTGGCAACTTCTCTGTGTTCCGGTCATTGGAGAAGTCCTGTGGATCTTCTCGCAATACCAGCCTGCTCCGAGTACACTGCTCCTGCGATTCTTCCGACATCAAAATAGTCAATGATGCACCCTTCTCGTGGTGACACAATGTATGTACTAAGGCTTCACATTTCTATCACGCATCTCTCTTGTTGAATGATGCTGACATATTTTCAGCTCGAAACGATATTGAAGAAAGGTGACGAGACCATCTCGCCAACTCTAGCTTATAGAGAGAACGAGAAAACAGGTGGTTTCTTTCGACTCTTTAAGAAAGACTCAAGGGAAGACGGTGAGAATTGAGACTTACATCTCTCTCACACCTCTACCAGGGATGGACGTCCTAGGAGGCTGAAACAATCGTGGTGGAAACCTGTCATTACTGCTGCAGCAGACATTGTATATAAATAGTTATAGAAAATGAAATCATGTTTCCCGTAGCCGCTTCGGCGTGCCTCTTCATATGGTTTAAGTGATATTTGTCGTGTGGAGAGATTGGAGTTGTTGTCTTTTGGAATCGGTAAGTTTCTTTGTCCTTATTGTTGGTTGGATGGTTGCTAATTCTCTACAGGTAGACAGTGGTGTCTGTTCTGATAAGTTTTCGTCCTGGTATATTTGAATGGATTAATAGGATTTCGAGAGGTATATCACCAATTGCCGTTCTGATTCTGAAACTCGTGCTAATAGAATTCTACCAGCTCCACTCCGCTACTTCGTTTCATTCATGACAGGGGATGTCAGTCACGATCTAGCAGCTTTCCCCATCGATCATCTTCCTTCTCATGATCATTAAATTAGAGCACCATGCGAGGGAAGTTCAAGATCTGAGCTCCTTCCACAATCAAATCCCATTTCTCAGCTCTTTCTCGCCAATTATCAATCAAGTCGGTGGAGCAGTCCTCGATTAAGCTTGTTGGAACCGGTTCATCTTGAACTGAAAACAACACTGCTATCCTGATTTTTTGAAGATACACCAGGAAGAACAAGCTACTAGCATTGGTTCCATCCTCATTGCCGAGGTGCATAACCAAGCACCCCCCCTCGACTTTGTTGGGGCTCTTAAGTTCCGTGGAGAGGTTCTCATAGAACCGCCATATTTGCCTTCCTATCCAGAAGGAACATTTGAAAGCATCCAAATTCTTGGGGTGGATAGCCACCACCACTCGACTTCATTGATGCCGTGGAGAGACTCTCTATGATCCGACATATCTACCTTCCCGTGCAAGAGTTCCATGATAATTTCCAAGTTATCGTTTGAGTTGTCCAGAAGGAAAATTTGAAAGCCTCCATATTCCTGGTTGTGCAAAATCAAGCACGACCCCTCGATTCTGGGTGTCATAACTCCCTGTGCCAGAGTTTCATGATAACTTGCAAGCTGTTGCTCGAGTTGTCCAGAAGGAACATTTGAATGCCCCCTAATTACCGGGTGCGAGACCAAACACCCCCACTAGACTATGGGCTCTCGCACCCCATCGAACCAACCACAATCGCCACCGACTCCCATCAAAACATCCCCCGCATACATCGCCGCTACTTCTTTAAGTTCCAAGCGCCGCGGTTTCCGTCGCTCTTGGACAGCACCCATCAACGGATTTAACTTCACCAGTTTGGGTGTTGGTGATGTGGCCTTCACCATCAAAAGCTAGTTCCTATGACTATTGTAGTCGGCAATACGGGCTTTAAAGCTGTTCCTTATGGACGTCCTATTGAGGATATTGGGACGGTTGCGTGCATTGTTAATAGACAGGAATGTATGGATTGGAAAGATCAATTTGAGGGGGAATTTGAAGAGCAGATACTGTTGGGACTCTCCAAGGTTCGCCATGTTTGCCTTCAGGAATATCACGATAATTCACAATCTGTTAAGATTTTCCAGAAGGAACATTTGAATGCCCCAACAATTGCCTGGCTTTCTGGCAACTTGCGGCTAGAGAGCAAGATGAGAGACTGGCGTTGGAAAGACGGCTGGTAACAAATTTATTAACAATATCAAATTACTTTGTTTCCAGATTGTACTTTATTATTAATAAGAGCCGCACTTAGTGCGAGGCTCTCTGCCAAGCAACAACAAATGGAGCATTGGATTTATCAGCAATATGACATCCAATTGCTGGATTGTCCAGAAGGAACATTTGAATGCCCCAACAATTGCCCGGCTTTCTGGCAACTTGCGGCCAGAGAGCAAGATGAGAGACTGGCGTTGGAAAGACGGCTGGCAGAGCCGCACTTAGTGCGAGGCTCTCTGCCAAGCAACAACAAATGGAGCATTGGATTTTTCAGCAATCTGACGTCCAATTGATGGATTGTTTGATCTTCTTCCTCATGTACTGTTTTGAGTGGTTGATGTTGGAGGGGATTTCAAGGTGTTATGAAACTGGGCGAGGTCTTGCATCATTCGTTGATGGCCGCGTGGGATTGTGAAGGCAAGGATACAGGGGCTGAAGATAGAGAAGGTACAAAGGTTGGCTGGATTTAGAGATTATAACCATGTTTTTTGTGTTGTAGTAACTTCATTTCAGATAGCAATATATTTAGTTCTCTCTAGCCGCTTCGGCGTAGCTTCCTGATGTAATTTTGAGGTTCGTATTTCTCGTGAATTCATTATGCTTGATATGGTTCCAGAATAGCTGACGAATACCAGGAAAAGGAGAGTGACGAGTTCTAGGACGCAGCAAGCTAAGCTTGAGGGTTGAAAGGACGCTCAAACAGGCATGCTCCTCGGAATAACCAGGGAATCCACTGGGTATTTGATGCAGATATCGGCGGGTGCTCACTTCTTTTGAGGTAAGTGAAATTGGTAATAGATCTCATCGTAGTGGATTTCGGCTAATGATAGTGAAAATAGCTTTGGATAAGTCCATCTTATCCATGTCTTGAGATGGGATAACTACCACGAGTCTTCGGAGGAAACATCAGTATCCTGGATCATGATCTCCGTCTTGGAGATGATCTCAAAATCATCTCTCCGGAATTCGACAGATCTCAAGAGAGAAATATCTCTCCGCACGTTGTAGTATTCCTCAAAAGCAAAGCAAGAAGAAGAAAGCAAGGCATTTGGGACTTTGACTTTCTAGCTTTGGAGATGGGGAAGGGAACCCTTTCTTCTCCCACCCAAAGTCGTTGGCAAAGATGAATTCGATGACGCGCCAAGAGCCCGGATCTCTAGATCGAATTCTGAGGAGTTGGAGATGAGCATAGCTTCTCTATACGTTCTAGTATTCCTCAAAAGCTTCATTAGAAGCTTGGAAAAGATGAATCTTATGATGCGATAGGAGGCGAATTTCCTAGACAAGATACTTGCGTCATTTAACTATCGTAACTGTTCTCGTGGCTCTGCCTTCTCGGGCAGCCGCAAATACCAATCATCTGAGGCGCAATTCTTCATTTTCCCTCTCGACATCAGTCGCAGACGCGATCGTATCAGATCTGCACGACTTTCACTGGAAAGTCTCAGGGCTCACTCAAAGAATGTCTAGAGATATCTAAGCTTAGGGGAGGAAGTACCCGAGAGAACCGACCGGTGAACTCGACTAATTATCCGGCCAATTCATCTCACATTGGAGTGAAAAGATTCCGAGGTAACGAGATTTATGTGAATTGGAATTCACCGAAATCGCCGCCGAGAGAAGGTGATAGAGCTTGACATGGCCACTTTTAGGAATGGAGAGCAATATAACCGTCAGCATTGAAGCAGGCTGGACACAAAGAGGCGGGGCCACCTACTCCAAAAGCTGTCATCAAGATATCTAGATAGCGAAAATCATGAGAACTCGGACCAGTGTGGCTGACACACTACAAGCTCCCTCTGTGAAAAGGCACCCGACACCTTTCCGCGCGTTATATTCGACATGGCATTACCAACAACATCAACTCCCAATACCACCTTGCCGCTCCTATCACCTCTCACCTCTGACACTAAAGTGATCTGTGAATATTCTTCGCTAATCCTTGGAGATACAAAGCCACCCACACTCCACTCGTCCCTTGCTGCAACTTCACACATTGAGCATGGGCCTATCTTCCTTTCTCTGGAAGAGGAGCTTAGCGAAGCCGAGAAGCGCATACAAAAGGCAAGCGTTCCCGAGATTGTTAACAAGCTCGAGGTTTGCTCGAGTACTTCAGTTGCAACTCCAGATCTTGCTGGCTTACTTTACCTCTGCGACGGGCAAGGTAACTGGGGACGTTCAATGACAACAATGCTGAGCAGCAGGTCATTCGTATCAGAATGATCAAGCAAAGCGATTCGAAGTACGAATATTGTTGCAAGACTTACCGGCAAAGTAACTAGGGACGTTCACGCTATGCATCCTTTGCCCAAGGGCCCGAGTTTTCGTTTGGTCGGCGAGAGGAGAAGACAAAGCTCGGAACCCAAAGGTAAGTTCCCTATTCCACAAATTCATCTGGTCCAGAGACTCATCTTAATTCTAGGTTGCCGGATGAATTTTACTCAGCTATCCTCACTATGGGAGGGCTCCAGCAAGCAGAAAAGTTCTGGCAGACAATCGCTCATTCTCCGTCTGATACTGCAGGCCATGATTCTTCGGGATGTACTGAATGATTCTGTGAAAAGTCAAATTGTATAGCCCCCAGAGGTAATGTATCCAAAGGGGTACAACGCGAGGAGAGCAGCTGTTGACCAATGGATGTTATTGCTTCTTTTGCGAAATAATGTATATAAGGGCATGACCCCAACCATGCACAAGATGACTTTGAAGCTTAAGAATAATATCATTTGCCAGATTTCCAAAAATCATATTCCTTCATCCCGTTTCGATTACAGATCTTGATTTTGATTCGTGCTGAGACGAAGCTGCTAGAAGGATCAAGAATGGGGTCTGCGGGGTATTGAATCGTTGATATATTTGATTGTTCCTAGTGATAAGACGGAAGTAGCGAAGCCAAATCAAACTTAATCAATGAATTTAATTTAAATAGCAACGAAATTATGTTTCCCACCAAACCTGCCTTAGCATGCAGTGTCGCTTCAAAGTGACAGAACAAAGTGGCGAGTTTAAATATCATGATTCGAATCCGGGCAAGATCCCATGGTAGGACCTTTATCGTTTGGTGCATAATGATTGTCAAGCTTTTGTCTCCAGACTACTGTGACTCCCAGTTGTCTCTGTAACTTGCGCAATTTTGTGAAAATTTGAATTGATATTGAGCAATAATTCTACCTCCACGCTTGTTCTTGCGGTAAAACGAAGCTTCCGATGCGGCATTGAGTTTAGAGCACTGACTAACTTCCTTGTTGACAGACAGGAACATCAGTAGCGAGGGTGACAAGTCCGGAGGATCGAAATCTCAAAAATAACATCTTCTAGCCAGGCTTTAGAAAAGCAAGTCGTCCATCGACACTTTGCGAGCAGTCTCGGTTTTTCGTTGCACAGTACATCCCAAGTAACTTTTCCCATGCCGGGAAGTATGCGATTATGAAACCGTGCAATACTTCTATGAATCCGAGATCACCAAGTAGATTCAATTCTGCATTTATGATAGTAGATCTATCGTAGGGAAGAAAATGCTAAAGTTTTGTGCGCTTAAATCTAGAGCCGCCCGAGGCATACATGCATGGTTTGTTAACTAAAACCACAAGATTGGGTGCACCAGCTTTGTATAGATTGAAGCACCGAGAGGATGAGAGCTGTGCGAGAAGCGGTGTCTGATATAATGAAATGGGAGAATAACAGGAATGGTGTTAGTGGAAGCGATGGAAGGTGGATCCAAAGATAATAGCTGAGAGGAGGGGATATACGTCCTTAACGAGTATGGGCTGCTTAGGTTTTATCCTGAGATTCAAACTATTCTCAAGTTTTGAGGGTGGAAATATCTCAATTGAAAGCTTTGAACTTGTTCATAGGTTGGTGAGGTTTCCTCGGTGGAGTGTAGCAGGTGGTGGGCGAAAGTCGGCGGGACTGGAGCCTGGGGAGTAGAAATCGGTATCGCTTTTTGTGATCTTATCGGGAGGGATGGTTACTCGGAGAGTGTTATTGATTTGGATGAAGTGATATGTAGAAGTTGATGTTTGCTGTTCCGCAATAGCAGCCTACTCCATATTTTGGATTGTCCTTGGAGAGAGAAGGGGAGTTGCAGAAAGCTTGTCGACAATTAACTGGCTCTAATGCAAGATAGCCTTCACTTTCGGCTTTCAGCTTGACGGGATGATGGCATCTCTCAAGAACCTCGATAGTTTATTCCTACCATGAAAATTACAGAGCCGTTGAGAAGCACCATTCTCGCTAGTCTCGTAGAACTATATTCAGGAAATGTTGTCATGAGAGGAGAGCAAACGTAGAACAATGAACATCAACTTGCCAGAGCTTGAGGAGACTACGCCTGAAATTCTCTTCTGAGAAACTCTACCTATTTAAAGCACCTGCTTTCATTGGCAATAGATATACGAACATTGAGTTGAACTTTGGAAGGAAGCAAAAGCAGAAATAAATGTCGATTTATGTCATCTTGATACATCCTCTGACACAATGGAGTATGTTTGACTCTGCTAAACATTCAGGCATCTAGAAGATATTCACATAAGACGATGCTATATAACAATGAGTGGAGACGTGATCAAACGAAATACTTTGGCTGTACTTGGTGTATGTTTGTTATCCCGTTACCAGATGTATCTTTCGAGAAGGTTTTTGACATTCGAAAATGCATATGACGATGGATGTTTTCAACTCATACGGAAGATGACAGATAAACTCCATCCACAGCTGCCAAAGGCTTTCAAGTAGAAATAAATCATTCATTCTCTCTCATTCACACTTACCCAATCCACCAATTCAAATTGTGAATGCCGAAACCGAGGAAGGGAAGTTGAGGGCCGTGCAGTACTTGTGCTGATCACGTGCCCACAGATACTATCCGCACGCAAGCACGGGTTTCATCCGCAGTAAGCCGTATTCATACTAGCGTCTTACATCTACTGTGCCTTCCGATAATTAAGCGTTCCGGCTTATTATTAACAGTACAACAAAGAGTTCAAAGAGTTTGTCAACTTCGCCCCAAGAGTCCTTCTCTTCATTACATCTTCATCTTCATCAGCCTTCTTTTCGACATCAACACAACCACAACTTCACGTCTTTACGACCAGATTTTCGCATCAAAAGAATTTGTACAATTGGAAAAAGATTTTTACGCGGTCGGGAAAGAAGTCAAGGAAAAGGAAAACAATTGATTTGGAGGGAAAAGAAAAAGAATAATACAAAGAAGAGAGAAAGAAGAGTGGATCATCTTGGTGGTGCAAATTGTGTTTGGTCTTGTGGAGGACAGCGGCAGTTTTCAAAGAAAGAAAGAAACATCACAATAGCAGTATTATCTGCAATCTTGTACAATCATTTCCTTTTGAGAGAGCCTTTTCTGTGTCACCAGAGTTATCTCCAGTGATCGCAATCATACTTGATTTCACTTCATTTTCTTGAACGGAGAGAAGAATCTTGATATTGCACCGGTCGCATTCACGAATTATCCCTTCTACCCTTCCATATTCCATCATATTAACTTATTCCCAAGTGTTTACTTGATCTTAATGAGTGCATTGGAAGAGTAGTTTGTTTCTCTGTACACGCCAACGCATTCGATTTATTCAACTCGAGGATCAACAACTTCCTTTACCACTCCACCTTTTGATCAACTTAACCAACAGCAGTCATGACGTCCTCCGTGTTCTTCAAGTTCAGGTCCCAAAAGGAACCTTCTAGAGTTGAATTTGATGGTACTGGTATCTCCGTATTTGAACTCAAGCGTGATATCATTATCAAGAGTGGATTAGGTGACGGAACCGATTTCGATCTACAAATTTACAATGAAGCAGACAACGAAGGTAAGCATTTGTTATATCGCAAACTGGTTATTGATCCTGATGCTGACCAACATAGAATATGATGACGATACTACCGTTATCCCACGATCAACTTCGATCATCGCTCGTCGATTACCCTCTATCAAGCCGGGTGCAGGTAGAGCTGCAAGATACATGTCGGGACAAATGCCGATAAAACAAAAGAACTCATCACGAAAAGAACAAGGAAAGCAGGCAAACGCAAAGGCCGTTGCATCGACACAAGGATTGGCACAAATGAATAGTGCGATGACTGAGGAGGAGAAGATGGAAGCTATGTTTCAGGCTCAAAGTGATCAATGGACAGCACAACAAGAAGATATGGCCAAGTAAGTTAATTTTTCTCTTCCGATCTAGTAATCTATTCTAACAAATCTTTAGTCAAACCCCTGTCTTCCGACCAGGTGGCAAGAAAGGTCAACAACCCCCACCAAACGTTCCAGATCATGAACCACCAACTGGTTATATCTGTTATCGATGTGGAGAGAAAGGTCATTGGATTCAGGTCTGTCCTACGAATGATGACCCAAATTTCGATAACAAGGCTCGGATTAAGCGTACAACTGGTATTCCAAGATCTTTTTTGAAGACTGTAGAGAAACCAGTTCAGTTGACCAATGATGGTACGGTGGATGATACAAAGACCCCATCTGGTGTGATGGTTAATGCTGAAGGAGAATTTGTCGTTGCTGAGCCTGATAAAGCTTCATGGGAACAATTTCAGGCTAAGACCAAGTCATCTGCTGCTGCCCAGAAAGCTGCTGCTTTAGGAGATAAAGTTTTAAGAGATAGAGGATTGGAATGCGCGCTCGACATGAGAATATTCATAGATCCAATGAAGACGCCCTGTTGTGAGAAGACGTATTGCAATGACTGCATTACTAATGCTCTTATCGAAAGCGATTTCACATGCCCAGGATGTCAGACTGATGGAGTATTGATTGATGATCTGAAGCCTGATGATGAGATGACCGAAAAGATCAAGACTTATTTGGCAGAGAAAGATGCAGCCGCTAAGAAAGAAAAAGAAGACCAAAGAGCTAAAAGTCCTAGCGTAAAGTCTGAAGCTACCAAAACGCCCCCCCAATCTAAAGCATCAATAATTGCAGGAAAAGCCAAATCGCCCACACCAAAGCAATCACCTAAATCAAAGTCACCAGAAGTCTCAAAGGTCTTGAAAAATAGTCCTAAGCAAGGAAAATCAGTTACCCCAGTTGGTGTTCCTGGTGCTCCGTCAGGACCTCAGGGTAAAAAGCGACCTGCAGATGAATTACTCGAGAATCCAAAAATTCCTAAAGGACCAAAAGCTATGCGCCAAAAAGAATCTGCCATGAATCCACAACAAAATATGATGAACGGAATGAACGCAATGAATGGTCTGAACGGGTTCCCAAACATGCCCAACATGCAACAACAATTCTACGGCAACGCAAATGGTTTCAATAACGGCATGCCAAACATGAACATGATGAACCAATTTGGTATGGGAGGTATGAATCCAATGATGGGCATGAATCCTATGATGGGTATGAATTTCCCGGGTATGAACAATATGCCTATGTTCAACAACGCAAACGCATTTGGTAATATGAATCCCATGATGAATGGAAATATGCCACAGATGAATGGAATGGGTAGAGGAATGAATGTACCAAATGGTGCAGCAGCTGGATTTCCTAACCAACAAAAGACAGTTTTTGCGGAACCTTTACCAAACGAAGAAGATAATGCATATTTCAGAAAACCCGTCAATCCTCATAGACATGTGGGAAGACAGAGGAGGGCGAGACCGAGTGATTACCGGGAACTTTAAGGGGTGTTGCGATATCAGAACTAGTTTCCCTCGTTATCATCGGTTTCAAAAGGGTATCAAGAGGCTCTTGCTACAAATGAAAAATGATGGCTGGAGATTCGATACAACATCTTGACAGCAGCACATTGGTTTTCCCACAAAACAATTCCTGTTGGATTTGGCTGCTATTATCTCTAGCTCCAGATTGCCAAAACTCAACTCGACATTTTCAACAACAATCAACATCGTCACAACGCTTCGCGTCGCAGTGCAGGATTCTTTCTTTCTCAAAGCTTTTCTTTCCTTCATTTTCTTCTCTTCTTCAACTTTTTACGCTCTTCTCTTTTAAATTATACGCACGAAATGAAATAAACTAGAAACAAATGGACATGGGGTGGGCGTGGTATTGGGAGGCATATTGCGGCTCACATGTAGTTCGCTTGCTACAGGCAGAAACAGGCATTTTTGGTGTTAAGGATTTTACTTTGGGTTATGTATGTACCATTGGGATTGGGATTTGCGATTTGCGATTTGCAATTAGGATTGCAGTTTGGGCTGGCATGGATATCGTTGCATTTGCATCTGCATTTGAGGATGGAGAAGGGAGGCATTTTCATGATTATGGTGAATGATGGGGGGGGGGCTGTTGTGAGGAAGGGAGAGTTAGGGGATGCAGAGGAAAGGGGAGGGGGATGAAGTACATAAAATGAATTGGGGTACATATTTGCAGATGAGAGATAGTAGATACCTTTTTGCGAGACTGGCGAAGCGAATGGATGTTTTATCTGGATACCTTGGTACTTGATGAGTTTATGTGATTGTGATGTGATGTGATGTGATGTAATTTTAAATGATTTGTAATTTGCTTTGTGTGATGATTGACAGGTTTTCGATTAATGTACTCTTCTGATACATACACCAATATCTAGTAATATAATTTTTCACCTATATCAATCACTTCTTTTCTTTCTCATCCCATTCTTACATAATTTCTTTATATTCATGTTGGATACTCTTGATTCCATTTTATACTCTCTCATCTCCTCTCTCTCATCCCTCCACACCTCTACGCAAAAAATCCCATCTTACCCTATCTTATTTACACGTTAACCCATTTACGAATCATCCAGAAAAACAAACATCTCGTCTTGGAATTACGGCATGGAATCCCAAAAGGCAACGACACGAAAGATCTGAGCTCCCATGGGTAGCGACAGTGATATAATATTGGTGTTGTACTGGGAGGGGAATTTTAGGGGGAGATGGGGGGGCTTTTTATGGTGGATATGGGGATGGGAGACTAGGGGTAAGGGGGTAAGGAGGGGACGAATGATTCAGATGTCTAATTTAAAATGTCGGCCCTCGCTGCCACATGTTGATACTGACCTGGGTAAGTGAATGAGGTATAGAATTGGATGATGAAGTGAATCGAGTTAATAGTGCGAAAGTATCGGAGTAAAGATCGAGCGTCAAGACAAGGAATAAATACCTAACTACTAATATATAAAGCACCTATTTGGTTACTGATACGAAAATTAGTATCATGGAGTCCTGAAGTTGGATAAACTCTTCTTATGTGTACAATGGAATTCGAGGCTGGAGTACACAATAGGTGCACTTTGTTCTAGGGACCAGCGTGCTTTGATGATGGGAATTGGATTGCCATGGGGCTAGTATGAGAATGATAGTGGTTAGTTTATTTGTTTTAGTGATAATGGTGTTGCTTGCGAGAATGACGGTGACGAGTGGATGGTGAAGAATAAAAGGTAAAGAATGACAAACAATACTACCATTCAGAGGAAATAAACTCCTATTCATGAAAACCGAAACGCAAGATTCAGCATAATTAACAAGTGTACTATAATCCAGAGCCCCTGGAAGCGATGAACAAACACATCCTATTCAATTTTCATCAGCAGCATAGAGATTACAATCTTTTGATAGCACCCGGGCAGTCAAATGACTTCGGTGTTTTCTTAGCCACTTTCTGTGACTAGAGCTCAAGGTTTTATTATATCCTCGGGCGAAAACAAGCTTTATATATTAGGATTTGGACAATGTTGAGTGGATGTTGATTAGCGGGGTGAGCAAAGAGATAAAATCGGTAGGTATGCTTTATTTACTTGACGAGTTATCATCAACAAACCTACCTAGGTACCCAAACTTCAGGATTTCATTCACTGTCTCCTGATTCTTGATTATTCTTTTCGAGAGCTCGAGATGGTTGGCTTGTTGTATATATTCCCTTTCTAATACATGAGGATTAAGAATGGCTAAATTGGCCCTTTGTGCTGGAAGCATTTATGGGAGAGAAAATATGCTTGTTTCCCTTTAGGTGATGGGCGAAGGAAGATAGCATTGTTCTGATTAGTTCTGTGACTGTAAGATTTAGAAGTAGAAATTGATGGTGATAACAGTATGATTTGGTGGTAGATATTTTGGTAAGTAGAATTTGGACAGCAATTTATGTGATTAACGACAACGAAAATTCTCTTTTCGATGAGATACTAGATGAGATGACAACTCCGGATGGATGCATGTAAATGTTGGTATAGGATTGTAATGTTCCGTATAGTCAAGAACATCAACGCCAATACTAGCATGTATGTCAAGTCTTTCCTGCATGGCGGTAAGAGACTTGACAGGTGTCTAATGAAGATCATGGATAGATGAGCAGGTTTATATAACATTCGTACTCGGAAAATGGGATATATTAACCGATTGTCTGGTGGAGAATCTGGAAATGCGGGGTATGAGGAGTGAGTGTTTGTACACTTTTACTATAATATATCAGGATATGAGATGAGATGAGATTAGACGAGATATTGTATTTTTGCTGTCATTTAAACCCAAAGAGGAGGGAAGTTGGACGAAAATCCCCACGTATGCTCCTAGAATTTCTTACTCCACTGCAGCCTAATTTTATTATTATTGAGCTATAGGAAAGAGCTCTTAGTCATTGATCGAGAGACATTGAGCGTGTAGGCATGCTCGTCGTCTAATTAACAGATCTGTAAGGCAAACATAGTAAGGTTGTAAAAGCTGTCTTATTATTCTCTAGAGAGACTATGCTACTTGTAGGTGTTCCTTATGTAAGCTGCGCTACGAGGTAGCGTGCCACAAGATCTAAGAGAATCGAATCATCGTGTGATCTTTATAGAGCTCTAGACAGATTATAGATAAGTGAGGAGCGGGGTGATGAAATGGTCATTGAGGGGCTTCTTGATTCATTCACTTGGACTGATGATTTTGCGCCTTATGCTGGATAGCAAAATCTTGTATAGATCTTTATTTAAGTAGTTGGTAAACCTTCTAGTTATCTTGCAAGTAATAAGATTTCCACCCGCGTCTCTTCATGCTGGATCTCTCTGTCTAATAGATATTAGCTCTTGTTACAAGAGGGAATATTGTTATATGAGATAGAAAAACAGAGAAATGACTTGTATATGATGCTGAAATTAGGACAGTGACAATGAAAACCCAGTTGGATGAAATGGGGTGTATGATTGTTATTGTCAATATCGTAGAGAAATTATCAATCAGGAATGGCGATAATGGTACGAAGGGATCATATCACAAACGCTAGACTCTTCATTCTGCAATCATACAATAGTTTGGGAAGTATTAAAGTTATTCAAGCCTGACCATCTTCCGCTCGGTGGAACATGCTTCTGGTATTTAGGAATATTCAAAATTGAGAGAACGGACGTGATGGGATGTCACTTTATAGACCGTTTCAATCTTCTTCTTTCTTTTTGCGCCCCACTAGAATCTACTTTTCTCCAAATTGCTTCCTTATCTTTGGTGGAGTTGCACTATGGAGCATGCAAATCCAAACATATGATGGGACATATTATTGAGTGATTAGGTATTGCAATATTTGAAGAACCTAGAGGTCTATTTATGCACTAGTTTGGCGCTGGAGACATGGGTAGGACTATGCCGCATGTAGATAAAAACGAGGAGCGGGGTGGTTCTCGTGGCCTTGGGGAGAAGGTTTCCTTCATTCACTACTCCCAATTCACGATTATCCCACTTCTCAGAAAGAAATGGCGTATATGCTGTGTAAGCTGGCAATTCATCAAACTATTTGAAGCCATTACACCCAACAAACGACCCGAAAGGAGAGATATGCTGACCATCGATCTAGGAAGCTAAAAACAGTGTATTATACCAAAAATACCAAAGCCTTCGACCAAAGGAATGGAAAACAACTGTTTAATTGGTTCTATTGAGCCACGATTATTTTTCGGGTGATATCATGAGATGAAATCAATTGACTCAATCAATTCCTCGGACTGCTCATAGATATCATGATTCTCAATACCTGCTCATAAGCCTCTGTCACCATTCCTTAGAGTTGTGAAAGACTCAAATTCAAGCATTGTTAGTTGGTAGTGTCATAGGATTTGGATCAGATCGGACTCAGAGACAGTTTGTTTCTTTTATGCCCCCCTAATGCGCCATCAACCACCTTTGCTGTTCGGCTTTTTAGTCTATAATGCGGGGTACTTTTAATGAAACTATAATTTCTTTTTGATCATTCACGACTATATTAGTGATGCCATACATGATTTAAGGGGGCTTCATGGAGCATAAGCGCGAAAGTTTGGTATATAAAGCCCACCTCAGTCCATATAAACGAGTAAATAAGCAGTCAATAAGAAGTTGATTCACACACAGGCCTCTGTCTGAAACCGGTGTCAGCAATGTGAATCTCACAGATAACCTCAGTTTCATCGTATCTTTTGCGATTACAGAAGTGTAGATGACTGATTTTTATCGTCGGATTGGGAGCGGTTTTGCTGCCATAAAATATCAATGCTGCGATGAGATGAATCGTTTGAATCGTCGAGATGACAAAAAAGGAAAGCGACAGTGACACTGATGGATGGCAATTAGCAATACAATTTGATGCGAAAAGAAGACGGATGTATAACCTAAAGCCCTTTCAATGTGTCCCGTAATAAGTCTTTGCCTAGCCCGACTTCTCTCCTCCAGGAAGTAGATTTCCTCTGCAAAGACTTGAAACCAGACTATTGTGGGCTTTATATACCTGCTCTGTATCTCGAATGGGCCTTGTGGGCCACAAAAATATGATAAGCGGGGCAGAGTTCACAGAACAGTGAGACTCCCCTATCTTATTCGCCATCAACTTAGATTAAGACTACTGATCTAGAGCGAGTTGGACAGGGTTTAAAAGGCCTTCAGTCTGCTATTTTGAGAGAAACATATTTATTGATTATGCATACAGTATCAGCTTGTATGAGCCTGGCATGTTTACACCTTTTCACTGCGGTCTTCCTCCTTGTATACTGGGACATATCGACCAATATCACTCTGTTGAATATATTTTGTGGGTAAATCGCGCCGGAATTGATAATAATGAGAGTAACAGATTTAATGACAACAAAAGCGGGAGGAATCAGGTAAAAAATGATGACACGACACAAGAAAATTTCACGGAAATCAACATCATGGCTCTCACTTCTCGATCTTTGCGCCAGCACTCAAGCTTTTGAGATATAGTTGGGAGTTCATGTATGCGCTACATTTCAATATGAATTCCGACTTAAGAAGTAGCTGGGTAGAGCATAAATCGGTAACACATAGCTTTGGGTGCATTGAGTAGAGAGCACATTGCATTCGGACTGGGCGAAACATATAAAAGGAAGCCGTTAAATCCACTGGGATAAATAAACCGTCTGAGATAATAGT